CTTCATATATCGCACTGTACTGTATGCTGTGCACATGACGATCTACGCAAAAAACCTTCGCCTTCAACTGCCACTTAGCTTTCATGCAGTTCGTATCAAACGTTCGTTTCCGACTCAACACCAAGGCCTAATAGCTGGAATGTTGTCAATGCAAGATTCGCATTTCCTAATATTCCATGGTTCAGGGACATGTTCGTCAAGTGGTGTTGTAAATCTAGCCAAATACCTGTCTCTGTCAAAGTTATCGTCTTCCGCTTGTATCTCTTTAAGCGTCCGATAGCCAAGTTTGTCAACCCCATGCGCTCTTTTCAGCAACTCGCCTTTTGACCCAGTTACTTTAGCGCCTCGGTGACGAAGATAGTCCTTCATATAAGATAGTTGCATTATGGGAAATCGGAAGGGAGACAATTTACCTAAGGGAGGTAACAACCCTTATTGAACAGGGCTATACATTTGGCGTTGCACGGCATATATCATACAGCGATCAGAATACTACACGAGGTCTCATTACATACGAACTATGCGGAACGAGTATCCTTCATATGGTATCTGACCGAGCGATAAGAAGTCTACAGTCCGTTTGAGTCAGAAACGGACCGATGAATTGCAAATTTTATCATTGTACAAAATTGCCATATAAATATAAATAGTACACATATTTATGATTTACTCATACCCAACAGCTTTCTGGACTCCATCAAAAAAGTTGTTTAAGAAACTATCATCATTGAAAACGCAAAAGTTGTGATCTGTCACGGCGGGGTGAAACCGCAGAAACGGAACAGCCTCTATCTCGTCGTGCACGGGATACACATGCCTGATGAAAAATGAAGTTGAATGCTGACGTGAAACAGTTGATGATTAAAGTGTACGATTTTTTTTCCGTACTGAAGCCGAAAGGGGCAAACCATTTTATGCCATTAATAAATTCCGTAAGCGGGCAGCAAAAGCTTTAGGAGTATCAGCAAGGGTACTGACAAATGTTCTGGAACACAAACATTGTGAGGGTGATGCGAAGCAGGTAGGGGTCGTGTCAAAATCACACAAATCAAAACAGTTGGACAACTTTCAAAAGAACCTTGTAAGGCAGTCTATCAACAAGCTCTATTCTGAAAACAAATACATGTCGCTGAAAATTTGTAAAAAGCATTTGAAGCAAGAACACAACCTCCGAGTATCAAAGTACACACTCTGGCGACTCTTACGCTCTTTTGGGTATCGTTATAAGAAAATTTCGGGGGGAGAATAGGTCAGTACTCTGTGAACGCCCTAATATCGTTTGCTTGAGAAATAATTTTCTCAGGGTTATAAAGAAGAAGCGCGAGGAAGGGTTCGAGCCAGTGTACTTCGCACTGCCTCGCACACTGCCAGCAGCCAGTGGGTACCCGATGGGGATGATAAGCGGTCACGTAGAAAGATGCCTCTAGGGAAATGAGAGAGACTAATCATTGTCCATTCTGGTTACTCCAGCAAAGGCTTTCTCCCAGGCTGCGACTTGGTATTCAGGGCAAAGTCCACAGATAACAGAGACTACCATTCCGAGATGAATGGTGTGGTTTTCCTCGATTGGGTTAACAGCAACTTGGTACCAGCTCTACCAGAGAAGTCTTTTATCGTAATGGACAAAGCCCCATACTACAGCATGCAGGACCCCGACAGTAAAGCCCCGACATCGAACAGTCGAAAAGGTGATATGATATCATGGCTCGACAAATTTCAGATCGCACGGCCTTCAAAGGCAACGAAGCCTCAGCTATATGAGATCATAAAAAACCACAGAGGTGAGCCTTTCTACAAAGTTACATAAAAAGTTAGGGTCACGATATTCTGCACAAAGTCAGCCGCGACTTCCACTGAGCGGGTTAGGCGGCTGACCTTGTGTGCTGGAGATTAGGTGCCTGACTCTGAGGGTGTGAGTTCGAATCCCGGATGGGGCTCAACTCAAAAAGAACTAGAATTTGTACTTTACTAAGAAAGTGTAATCCCAAATATAACATGTTACATTTGACCGCTTTCTCATTGGAATTGTGTAATCAAAAATAGTGTAGTTTTCACGCCACAATGTATTGACGTCACTACGGCATTCTCGTCTGCCCCCTCGTTATCAAACGTACCGACGTCACGATGGATGTCAGTTGTCATCGCCTCGCACAGCCTCCGACAGTAAACTACTCCGTAGCACCCCGTTTCTTAGTTTGCAGTTGCTTTACACGGCTTACATCACTGGAGGAAACATTACGTTGATGGTTTAGACGGATAAAATGTCTGAAATGTCACAATTTAATAGCGACACCGCAACGTTCGCAATGATTACAATCCCACAATGCATCCGTGGGATGTGGCGTGACTAGTCAACACCATCTGGATGTACTGAACTAAACTTACGTTGGTAGTAGAAATGCGACGTTTATATTGACCCACTTGGTTTACATTATTCACAGATAAAATAATATAGAAAAGATATTTAACCCAAACGTAAACCGTCATCAAACTGTTTATCATTTGTTTTTCTGGTAACGTGCGCCTTTACGTAGGGGGCAGACACGTCAATAGAACAGCGCGCCACGATTGTTAGATCACCGACACCGTCATTTTCTGTTTGTTTTCTGCCTTAGATTAATCGTAATTAACCTTAGAAAGTATGAAATATGGCATTTTAGAAAAGAAATACAGTTGGCTCTAGCACCATGAATAGTGTAATAAAGTACACTTTTGTCCTGAACTATTATACTGTTAGAGCGTTTAATTTAATTGACGTAGTAAAAGTTGTAGAATGAATGAATTCGTGTGTTGTAATGAATGAGAAAGTAGTTACGTCGCAACGTGACCTAACTGAGAGGTAATCGGTTATCCAATCAAATCATAAGAATCTCGGGTCAAGTCGTTTCGGCACAGGTCAACGCGATACGACACTCGTGTGACGTACGAGATTTGTATGCACTTACCCATACGTTGACCACGTGGGTGATAAATTTAAATATGGAGCACATAATACATACTACATACAAATACGATAACAAAACGTACATAATATATGTAAAACTGTTCCATATATACACAAAACACATAGACGAGTAGCACACATAATTCAGTAACCATGTACGTTTGTTTCTACGACAGATTTAACAGTATTTCGGTTATGTCACAGCGTGTTAGTTTATTGTTTGGAGAGAGAGTGAATGAGCATTGGCATAGGTCCACAGCACCCCACTGCTGGTCCTGAGACCGAATCAGGCAACCTGTTTTTCGTGGGTTGCGCCTATGTGTCAGTGGAGGACGGGATTCTGGTGGTTGAGGGCACCAACCTTGTTGAAACCAACAAATTCTGAATTTACATCTTTGCCTAGAGTCCTATGCCAGAAGGTGGCGGCTCATGGGACAATTTGGCATTAATGACTTCCGGGTTCTATTTGTCTTCTGGTAATGGTCTAGGGCGGAACCAGCCTGACATTTTACACTGTTTGACTATTACAGCTACCTGTTTCCTTTTAGCTGGAGTATAACATCGTTGTAGCCCTGGTGTTGTAGTCGGTTTCCACTACAACTCCGTCCTTGACACTCCATGGTGGGTGGGGAGCAGGGATGTTGAATATACTTTAACACCATGGCTACCCAACTACACACTGGCTCACGTTCTGAAACTAAAAGGGGGCACATTGATTATGAGGCTGCAACATGTTCCGATGAAGAAACTTTACACGATATTGATTCTTGGCCACGATTTCTGGTTGTCGGTGGTATGGAAGGTATCTCAAATTCAATCCGTTCGTTATTTCAAGTGAGTGAGTTAAAATTTAAAGTCACTTTTGGCAATATGTCAGGTGAGGATCCTCCATTTTGCATCGCTTGTGATGAAAGAATCACGGTCAATCATGTCCTGTTTGACTGTACTGATTTTTACATCACACGGGAAAGATATTTCAGTGCAAAAACATTGTTAATTATCATTTAAGTATAGAATTTTTAAAAGAAATAGAGTTACCTGTTAAATTTTGATTGATATGTTTTGTATATAGATAATGTAATATTTTATTATTGGTAGTATAAATTAGCAACTGACATTGTTAGTGGCTGTATCCTCAAAGGGGGTTAAAGTACCGTTAAATTATTGTCCTCTTGAGAGGATACGTAAGTCCCAAACCCATCAGAGGAAATTTAAACATACTAGATTTTTTAAACGTAGTTTTTTTGTGCTTTTTTATATATGGCTAACATTTCCTACAATCGCCAGCGGCTGAAGGGATGGTGTAAATCCAACAAGGGTCCATGCAGGTCGCAAAGGTACTGTTAGCCCCCATGGTCCCTAGTATGGTGATCTCCCTACAGCCTGTTTCTATATGGTATCTTCTTTAATAATAAATCTGTTTCAGATTTAATTACCTGTTTTTAATTGTACCTGTGATAATCTAATTGTATTACTGTCCTTCGTTGACATATTTATAATTTACTTTTAATTATTATAAAACTTTAACTTGATTTAGTCACGATATGGCTGAAATATTGCTGTGACTTAAATATTTAACTGACTCACTCACTTCAGCGTGATGAGCAAACCCTTTAACCAAGGGACTACCCCGCCGTTCCTGTATTTTGTAGGGAATGGTCAATATAATGCAAGTCTACCAAGTCGATGAACACGGTATGAGCTGGAATGTAACCCTGTGGTTCTGATGTCGGATAATTACTTCTTTTGCAATTAGTGTTCCTTCCAAGGCACAAACATACATCTCACAGCTTTTGGTTAATATTCATTTATAATATTGCTCCAGTGTGGCACAAGTAAGGTAGCAGGTGGTAATGTACCGAACAAGTAGTTTATCGAACAAATGAAGTGTACTTTGCACAGCTTGTTCCCATGTGTCGTTCATGACACTACTATTGCACCCAATACCCCTCTCGTGAGCGAATCAACTGTTTCCAACGTGTCGATAACACAGTTGACGCGTGCATGTACACTTTTCACAGACAGATCTGAACTGTCACGCACACCTTATATGGTATCTATGGAGCATATATATAACTCGTCTTCATTTCAACACTTAGTATTTAACACCTTCAGGTTATACGCCCAGTTTGAAGACACAGGTAAGTTCCATAACGTTTTTCAAGTGTTTTTAGTCCTCTTTATGATGATCTATACAATGAAAAGTCTTCTCTTGTTCCGCCTCTGGGACTAAGAGCCAAACCTTTCCTTTCTGCTGCTGGCATTGAGCTAGAAAATATATCTCCTTCCCGTCTGCTTTCTTCTCCTCCTTGGCAGTTTGTTAGACCAGAAGTTGACCTAACACTGACAACATTTAAAAAATCGGTAACAAATGAATTACAATATAAACCAGAATACAATAAAAAATCTTTCTTCCAAACACCAACTTTTAATCGAAATTATTGAATTACATAATGATCTTGCTACTGGCCAATACGACATCGTCTTCTGTTGGTTACCCAGCCACGTTGGCATTTCCTGGAATACTATGGCCGATTCTGCTGCCAAGGCAGCACTCAACAAATCTGTGACACCACTTCTTATTCCATACTCTGATTACAAAGCTAGCATTAGAACTTATATCCGTGATCTGATGCAAAAGAATTGGGACACCAAAGTAGGTATCAATAAATTACATGCAATAAAAACAACTATCGGTTACACCTATTTGGGTTGTCAGTCCAGATTTGAAGAGTCCATCATACGACCTATAAAAAGGAGAGGATCCTCCGTTTTGTATCCATTGTGATAAAGAATTACGGTCAAGCTTGCCTTGCTTGACTGTGTTGAATATTCCATCACAAGGGATATCTATTTCAAATCACGAACTATGAAGGATCTTTTTAGTAATATATGTTCTCATTTAATTATTGCATTTTTAAAAGAATAATATTTGTTAACTGATTTGTAAATAGATAAATATTTTACGATTGGAAGTTTAAATTAATAACTCAGATTGTTAGTGGCTGTACCCTCAAGGGGGAGTTGAAGTATTGTAAAATTATTGTCCTCCTGAGAGGGTATGTGAGACCCAAAATTTTCAAAGTGATTTTAAACTTACCAGGATTTTTAAACGTAGTATCCTTGTCATTTTAATTTTGGCTAACATTTCTTACAATCGGCATCAACTGAAGGGATGGTGTAAATCCAACTAGGGTCCGTGCAGGTAGCAAAGGTACTGTAAGTCCCCATGGTCCCTAGTCTGGTGATCTACCTTCTGTTGTTGGCGATCTATAGCCTGTTTCTATATTGTATTGTCCCAATAGTGCTATTAGTTTTAACTTTCCACGCTCGTTTTAATTATAATTGTGATATTCTAGTTGTTTTACTGTCCTTCGTCGACAGGTTTTTATAATATACATATATTCCATGTCAATGTCAAATATGTTCTCGTCACAATATGGCTGCAATATTGCCGATGTGACGTTAAATAATAACTCACTCACTACAATTCACTGATTGTCTCATTCTTCAGTAAGAAACTTCCCAAGTTTAAACACCATTATGCAGGTTTCGCAATTACCTTGCTGCAAAAGTGTAGAAATTTGAAATATTTCTTTTGCACAAAAGTTTCAAATGTCAAAGGAATTTTTTCCCGGACGAGCCCCCAATTTTGATACAGTTAAGAATTTGCCATGACAAAAGTTTTGTGAGTCCCTTTTGAACCAACAAAAAAACACACAGATAAGTCTAAAATATTCAAAAAGGTATTGAATAAACAATGATCAAGGTTACAATGAATGCAGTACAGATTTTTAATACAATGTTATGAAGGCACCAATCTATACTATTGGGTCGCAAATCTAAAATATGAACAAAATGTCTATATGTACCGCAGTCTTGTTGATGAAGTGATTGAAGACTTGTTGACGGCAGTTGAGACGCGGCGTAAATACAAAGCAGTCCTCAAAGTCATGTGTTAGTGCCCCTGCCCCGTACATCTCAGAAACCACTGCTTACACATATTTCCGTCATTATACAATTCTTGAGCGTTCTATCAAAGCTAGACTACACCACCATGTAGAAATTACCAGAATCATCTCGTAGCTTACGCAGAGAACTCCGGCAGCGAAAACAAAGGAGGGCGGGTAACTCCCATGCCACCTCTCAACAGGTGAAGGCATTAGGCTGTTGACAGGGTCGGACGTGCTTGTCAGCCGCTCCTCTGTAAGGGCCTGTGTTTGGTCTAGAATTTGATATTCATAACTGCGTTTGGCTTATATACTGTATTATCATTAAGGTTAGTGATTGTATGCTACCCAGGATCAAATATTGGCTTAATTTGCCATGTTTGTGTGTTTTGTTGTGTCGCGTTGACTTACCGCACCACGTGGCCTCGGTTTTCGCGTATTGTGTCTGCGTGAAATGTTTCATTTCGTCTTGGTCACAGGAATATTTGAGTATGGAGAGCAACAATGATAGGGATGGGGATGATAATAGTCATTCTACCGCATTTGAGGAAACCTTGACAGATGCTGAATTTGCAGAGAAATACGTGTCAATGATTTCCAAATGTTTGAAACTAAAACATGAGGATGACTGCGTTGTAAATGATACGACTTCGTCATTACCTATCAAATTTGTTGTCCTTCTTACTTCTGCAGACCCAAGATTACGTTTGACAAACTTGTGTCTATCTATAAAATATCTATAAAAATATTGGCGATGTGGAATATATGAAAAAACTGGAAAAGGGAGATTTAGTGATACACTGCAGGACGGTAAATGAAGATGAGAGAGTGGAGCAATTGAAAAGTCAAAAGGTTAAATGTGCCCAAAGACCTTTGCTGGAAAAGAAAAGGAACTTACTACTTCCATTCTTCTTACTTTCTCAACCCCACATTTGCCTGAACGGGTTAGGGTGTATTATCAGTCCTTTCTTGTGCGTCTGTAAATCCCACTAGCTAATAAATGCTACAATTGCCAGAAGTTTGGCCATGTTTCAACCCGATGTAAAAGTAAAACGCCTGTATGCTCCAGGTGCAGTGGCGAGCAGAAAGTAGAAAATTGCTCGGAAATGTATCGAAGTGTTGCAATTGTGGTGGTAGCCACAGTGCTGCCTACAAGGGATGTGAGAAATACAAGGAGGCTGTATCTGTGCAAAGGGTTCGAGTAGAGAGTAAACTATCTTATGCTGAAGCAACTCGTATAGTCAAGTCCACTCCAACTCCATCTTACGCAGCTACTGTAACCGCCGCACAAAAATCACGATCTGGGTCGGTACAAGCATCGCAATCAACAGTTGGAGCCCGTCCTGTTCCTCTTGCAGCTAGATCTAGGTCTAACCCTACCTGTATTTGTAAATGTCAGTCACGAGAGTCAGATGTAAACCAGAGTGTATCAAATCCACCTGTTACAGCTCAAGTCAGCTCTCCACAGGTAGCCAGTCCATTTCTTAGTACTTCTCCTCAAACCTTTTTAGCTTTATTGTTTGAGGTGATTTCAGGATGCTTTAATGCAACAACCAAAGAGGAACAGATCAATCGTCTTGTGTCGGCGGCAAAAATACATCTTCACATCGATGTTCCTAGTGATCTGTTGAGTGAGGTACATGTTGAGATGAATGATGGATAACGCTTTAGTATTCCTGACCATAATGCAATGGAATGCACAAAGTCTTATTGCACATGGGGATAATTTAAAGCATTTTCTATCAATTAGGTCGCTACTGCTGGATATTATTTGTGTACACGAAACTTTTCTTTGGCCTGAGAGTCTTTTTAGAATTAATGGCTATCTTGGTCTCCGTCAGGACAGACTAACCAGCAGTCAGAATACTAAACATCCTTGGAGAGATGGTTGTGCTATATTTATTAAGACTGATTTCTCGTATCAGGTTCACGAATTACCAAATACAGTGTATGAGGCTAACGCAGTAAAAATTCATTATGAGGAAGATAAAGCCATTACTATTGTTAATATTTATAATACAGGTAAGCCAACCGTAGATGAATATCTTAAATTAATTTATCCAAATGGAGGCCCATATTTTATATGTGGGGACTTTAACAGCCATAATATGTTTCGGGGAAGCAACAAAACGGATTATAATGGTCAGATTGTTGAACAATTTTTAGATGAAGCAGATCCTGTCCTTTTAAACGATGGTAAAATGACCCGCATGGATCTTGGCAAATGGACTTTTTCTCCTTTAGATATATCAATGATATCATCACACATAGCCAGTGAGTTTAACTGGACATTATTTCAGGAAGATGCGTTAGGTAGTGACCCTTTTTCTGTTTTTACTGAAATTCAGGTTCGACCATATTGTGATCCTTGTGATAATGTCCCTCGTTGGAAATTCAAGAAGGCTAATTGGGCACTTTTTTGTAGTCTGTGTGCTGAACATATCACATCCGATCTTATAAATGCTGATGTTAACCCTGTGAAAAAAGCCAATACCGCAAGGAAAAAGGCATATAAGGTTCGCCACTCGTCATTGCCATGTGATTTGGCTGATTTTCGTAAGAAACGAGCTACGTTCCAACGTATTGTACGGAGTACAAAACGATTGAACTGGAGGGAATATATTTCTAATATTAATATATTTACTTCATTAACTAGTATCTGGTCCAAGGTGAAAACGATCGGTGGAAATAATATTCGTTCACCTATACCGGTAATGGGAGAAGCTGGAGAACTCATATCAAAAAGTCAGAAAGTAAATGCTCTTGTTAAACAATTTAAATCTGAGAAATTATTGTCATGAATTCAGAGAATATAAACAAGTCTTTGAAACAAATTTTATGCCTGAAATGTCGTCTGCCATGTTGGAAAGTAGCTTGGAAATGAATACAGCTATCACTCATGATGAACTTAAGACCGTAATCAAGAACACATAATTCGGCACCAGGTGCGGATGAGTTGTGCTATGAAATGTATAAGCATATGCAAGATTCTACTCTTGCTGTTATTCGGGAACTGTTGAACCTAAGTTGGTGTTCTGGATCCTTGCCTAGGACATGGAGACATAGTTCCAGTGCCCAAACCAGGAAAAGATCCATCGCTTCCTGCATCATATAAAACGATTGCTCTCACTTCTAATTTATATAAAATCATGGAGAGAACAGTTACTAATCGCCTGAACTATTATCTTGAACGAATTGAGCTTCCTTCCCACATCCAGTCAGGATTCAGAAAGGGGCGTTCATGTATAGACCAAAATGTTCGTCTGGAAACTGAAGCACAGAAAGCTTTATGCAACCAGGAATACATGTTGTGTGTATTCCTTGATATTGAAAAGGCTTATGACATGATTTGGAGAAATGGTTTGATTTTTAAATTGTGGACACTTGGAATTAGAGGCAACATGTTCAAGTGGATATGGTCTTTTGCTTGAAGGACCATTTAAGTTCGCATATGTCAAGAACTGTCAAGCGTGCATATGATTGAAAATGGTACCCCACAAGGAAGTGTAATAAGTCCAGTTTTATTTAATATTATGATCGATGACATTTTCGATGACATGCCTCTATACATAAATGCAGCACAGTTTGCTGATGACGGATCGTTTTGGAGATGCTTTGGTAATTTTCAGTTTGTCAAAGAATCTATACAAAGCTGCTTTAAGTAAAGTCAGTACATGGTGTTCAAAATTGGGGTTTTAAGATTTCAAAACCAAAAGCAGTGGCAGTGATGATCACAAGAGGTAAGATCCCTCATGATATCAATCTAACTCTTGGACACCATAAACTGGAAATGGTGTCAGTGTTCAAATTTCTTGTTGTGTATTTTGATCAAAGATTAACATGTCTCATCACATCACACATGTATATAACACATGTAACAAGATCATCATCAATCTATTAAAGGGTATTTCAAAAACAAAGTGGGGTGCTGATAAGTCAACTATGTTATTGCTGTACAAGGCACTTATCTTGTCCAGACTTGACTATGGTTGCCAGGTGTATATGTTGGCGGCTAAATGTCATCTTAATAAGCTTGATAGAATTCAGTCTAAAGCTTTGAGAATATGCACTTGGGCCTATATTACAACTCCAACCTCAGCGCTTCAAGTTGAGTGTTCAGAAATGCCACTTCACCTTCGACGACAACAGGTATCCTTGACATATTTCTTAAAAATTCATACCAAGAACAAACACCTTTTTTTTACTGAGATTGTTAATGACTGTGTGGAATATGTCATATGTGACTGGAATCATGGCAAATTACCCTTTGGCTTAAATATACAGAGATTAGCTGATCAACATGGTATTTACAACTGTAACCAAGTTGATCCTTCTGCTCCGCCTGTCACACCCCCGTGGCTTCTGCTGAGGCCTGGATTGAATCCTGAACTCAGCTTAATCGTGAATAAAGGAATGGACAAAAACATAATAAAAGTGATAACTCAAGACTTTCTGTCTGAAAAATATTCCAATTTCACACATATATACACTGATGCATCGACAGAACCATCAAATGATCGTACTGCTGTGGCTTTTTGGATACCCAATTAATCGATCGCTAAGGTGTTCAGATTCCTGATTATCTTTCTGTTTTTGCAGCTGAACTTTTGTGCATTTTGCAAACATTGAGATGGGTAGATAAATATGACCATGAAGCAATTATCTTTACAGATTCCATGGCAGCAATCAAAGCTATAGAAGCTGGTGCAAATGGATCTAGAGATGACATTGTTCATGAGATATTAAACATCAAGTACATTGCATGCAACATTGTGTGGGTCCCAGCACATGTTGGAATACATGGGAATGGGATTGCAGATAATTTAGCCAAATCCGGGTTACAGTTTCCTGAAGTTGATCTATTTAAATTTCAACCAATCCCTCAAGCTTTTGAAAATGTTTATAGAAATCTGTTATAAGGAGTTGGCAACAGTTGTGAGATACAGGTATTAGCGGCCGACATATGTACACACTTAGACCATCACTAAAATTTGGTCAAAAAAAGCATGTCCTGCTTGACTGTGTTGAATATTCCATCACAAGGGATATCTATTTCAAATCCAAAACTCTGAAGGATCTTTTTAATAATGTCAGTTCTCATTTAATTATTGCATTTTTAAAACAATTAGATTTGTTGACTGATTTGTAAATAGCTAAATATTTTATTGTTGGTAGTTTATATTAGTAACTGAGATTGTTAGTGGCTGTACCCTCAAAAGGGGGTTGACGTAGCGTAAAATTATTGTCCTCCTGAGGGGGTACGTAAGTCCCAAAACTTTCAAAGTCAATTTTAGTGTACCAGGTTTTTAATCGTAGAATATGTGTGCTTTTAATTTATGGCTAGATTTCTCTTCTGTCGCCAATGGCTGAAGGGATGGCGTAAATCCAACTAGGGTCCATGCAGGTAGCAAAAGTAATGTAAGTCCCCATGGTTCCTAGTATGGTGATCTACCTTCAGTTGTTGGCGGTCTATAACCCGTTTTTATATTGTATTGTCTTCATAAATAAAATAGTTTTATATGTTCATGCTAGTTTTAGAATCCATCTGTGATACTCTAGTTATTTTACAGTCTGACTGACTGACTGAGTTTAGTTTTACAGTCCTTCGATGACTGATTATTTAGCAACTTTAATTTATTGTTTATATAAAACATTTCTCGTCACTATATGGCTGAAATATTGCCGATGTGACGTTAAATATTAACTCACTCACTCATTTGGTCAATAAATCCGTCGTCGTAAAAGGCGTGATGATGTTATTCTTTCACGTCTCAGACTTGGACACTGTGGGCTAAATGCTTACAGGAGTATTATAGATAAGACGGTCTCTTCTAAATGTGGCCTTTGCAATTTGGAGACGCCTGAAAATATCGAACTTTATCTAATTACATGCCCTGGGCATAACAACATAAGACATAATCTCAGAAGTGCTGTACCTGAGGCTGATGATGTATTTTCATTAGAAACAGTTATGGGCCCCAATATCATGTATGGGTCTGTGCAACGGGCAGTTTTAGATTTTGTTTCGTCATCTGGAAAATATGATGTTATCTAGACAGGCTCTCTAATGGCTTATACAGATTAAGTTCTGTGATTTTAAATCATTTTAACACTCTGTCATATGAACCTACTGCTTTTTTTTATGAATGAGTATTTAATGTTTCAGAAGTGATTACTTAAGGTTTTAAATCCGTAACACAAAGCAGAGGTTATTCGATATGTGTATACATCTATCCAAATTAATATCAATAGTGTTGTGGTTTCTTTTATCTTAACTAAACGATTCCTTTTGGCAATGAAATTACCTATGATTGTTTATTAAATCAAGTCAATGTGTTGGGCGCAAATAGGCCTCTTATTGGCCCACGTCACCCTAAAACTATAGAACCAACCAACCATCAACAGGTGAAAATAGGTAGATATTGAACATACAAGTTCAAGATTCGAGTTCAAATCACACCCAGCACTATACACTTTTGTGGACCGTAATAATTAAATGTTAATCATTATCATAAACACATTCTCATAACACGATGGTTGGTTTGATTTCATGTAATTTATTGATACCTACCTGGGTGTCCCACTTCTTCTGCATCAGATCACGTATGTAATATCTGAGAACATCTTTGTAATCAGAGCATGGTTTGACTAGTGGAGTCACAGATTTGTTGAGTGCTGCCTTAGCTGCAGCATCAGCTATTGTGTTACCATTTATTCCAATATAGCTTGATAATCAACTGATGACGATTTCGTTTTGGCCAGTTGCAGTGTCATATAATTCCATGATTGCAAGTAATAGTGGAAGTTGAGAAGACATTTGTTCAATAGCCTGAAGGCACGAACAGAGGTTGAAAAGATTATATTTTGTTTATATTTTTATTTACGGTGTTTATTAATATCAGCTTCTGCCGTGAAAATATAGCTGTTATCCGGTAAACTAGAAGACACCAAACTTGAACCCACCTGTAAATAAGGATTTGTATGTATTATCATTACTTTTTAATTGATTAATTTCTTGTCTATATTGTAACTCAGTACTTTCGGATTTTTTAAATGAGGTGAGTGTTATGTCTGCTTGTGGCCTCGCTAGTTGCCAAGAAGGAGAAGAAAGCAATCAGGAAGGAGATATATTTTCTAGATCAATGCCAGCAGCAGAAAGGAAAGCTTAGATTCTTTTTCCAAGAGGCGGAATAAACGATGACTTCTTGTTGTACAGATCATCATAAAGAGGCTTAAAAAAAGTTAAATACATGGTTAAACTCGTTAGAATACCGTTTTGAGATATACTTTAAAGATAATTTTATATGGGATTGGTTACGAGAGGGCCCATCGGCTTCAACACAGAGGCTATCAACATTGTGATTCTAAAGAGTACAAAGCAAAGTCTTAGACCTTGGTGATGAATATAATCAAGAAGTTTAAGGTTGCTTTTACAGGCTCCACCATAGATGACAGAGACGTAATCAAGTTTGGAACGGATGAGTGCTCTGTATAGTTGGAGGACGGTCTTCTGATCCCCTTCCACACTTTAGTGTTTGACACAGCTTTCAATATATCTAGTGGATGTACGCACTTATTTTTCAAATGTTTTCATATGTGGCCGAAAGTCAAATGGCAATCTATATCCTCTATTTTTTATTGTATTGTTCTCTATAATAATATCGTTTTATGATAACATAAACACTAGTAGTTTCACTAAATATTATCTCACTCACATGATATGTACATGACAACAATTTGATGACGTTATAAGGGTTATTTGTCCTCCCTCACCACGAACTGCCACGTTCATGATACCCACTCTTTCATCTTCCAGAAAATGATCACATTGAAGACGACGTCTGTAGATGATGCCAAACCCGCAGATGACAAGGAAGTACTTGAGTCACATTGTGGAGTTGGGTCGTGTCGTCCTCAGGCTCTACAATGTTTCAAAAATGTCTTATCATTTTCCATATTTTTCGGCCTTGCAGCCATGACTTCACAGTCGTTGAGTGTTTACATTGTCTCACAAGTCACAGCCCTGGAAAAGCAGTTCAATATGAGCAGTACGACAACTGGCATTATCATTGCCTGCAATGAGATAGGTTTCGTCTGTGCCGTTCTTTTCGTTAGTCATTTTGGAAGCTTCAGTTCTATTCCCCGAGTCATCTCTCTTTTAACCATGTTGTTTGGCATCTCAGGTATTTTAACAAGTCTGTGCTACTTCATTGACCCCTACCAGTTACCCAAGCTTTCACAGGAGAATGTCAGAAATTCATCATTGGACCAGAGTTTCATTGCCCCTCTGTGTGACCCGGGCAACACGACGTCAGATGGGTGTGGTAAGGAGGGTGCAACCAGTGATTCTGGCAGTACACAATGGGTTGTCTGGCTTTTGGGTGCCAGTATGATTCTTCAAGGTATTGGAAAATCGCCGCGGTTGTCTCTGTCAACTGCTTACATAGATGACAACAATCCCATCAAGACCAAAACTGGACTTTACCTCGGTAAGGACAAAACTAATCAAAATCAAAGCAATCAAAACTCTTTTCCAAAATCATAAGAACTGTTTGCTAAAACAGGGTATATTGTTCGGTTCCGACAATACCCGCATATGTTTTTGAACCGCTATCAAATAGTGGCGACATTAGATGAGACTATCCAGTGTCAGTTGTGGCATACAAATGTGAAGTCATGTCAGGCACTTGCTGGGCCTTTGTCCATAAACAAACTCTCCAATGCCGTTTGTAATTCGAATGTGGAGCCCGACTGTTTTCATCCGTACAAAAAACATGCTATGTCATCCAATTCATAAATCACAAATATGATACAGTACACGACTGTGAGCAAATTTCTTCCAAACGTATCGTTGAGATACCGTTTATGCCGTTGTTTAAATCGCTAGGCTAAACTTGCTTGGAAAAATACGGAGAAAACATTGTTGTTCAGAATAGAAAATGTGTAACGTGGCAGACATAAACGGCCTGAAGTGAACTGCACAGCTCTGACAACTTATGTGATATCCTACATCGTTTACTTTGAATCACGTAATGTTAATGTTATTATTTCGTAAATATTCTCGATGCTCAAATTTAGAATATTGTTTCTTAATAATCCTAGAAATAAACGCGTTTCAACTGGACTATTTGACTATCGAGTAGTTCGATCGGTGACATTGACGGAAGTTTAGGCCGTTACACTCGCTTAAAAAATGACACAATATGTCTTAATAGCTGCTGCTTGTGTTAACCGTACATTGCAGTTTGTGTTGTCCTTACATCGCTGCTTGTGTTGTCCTTACTTTGTTGTTTCCTTTTATTGACCTGTTTAGATCCTGATTAGAATTGGTCGTTAGCATCCCATGCTTGACAGGATAAGGTGGTCAGGATCGTTGACTTGGTTGCCACATAGGTCATCGTATCCCAATTACGTACACCGATGCTCATGATGTTGATTACGGGATTGTCTGGTCCAAACTAGATTATTTACATACCGCTGTCATACTGCCGAGTGCGGCGTTAAACAACAATCAAAACACACCTTTCATTGATGCGTGTATTATACGCACATTGATGCTTGTTTTATTCTTATACTGATGCACCTGTCATCCTTACATTGATCGTTGTCTTATCCTTACCATGCTGCTGTTGTTGTGCAGGTATCACCAGTACGATGGCAATGTTTGGTCCTGCAAGTGCAGTGGTACTAGGAGGCGTGTTCAGAGCCATCCCTGTTGATCTGCAAGGTCAGTTTGCGACAGTAGCATCTGTTTCATACATGAATACATTCTTTCAATCAGAACCGAGTAATGTTTTCCAACGAAAAGGTATTGGTATTGTTAACCTAGCCTTAGGGTCTAATTCCTACCACCTGCCACACCCTTGTAAAATCAAACGCCGTTTTGTCCACGGTATTTAACTTCCAAGTTTAATATATGTATGGTATGTATACTTGATATGCTAACAAGTATATAGTTTATATCTGTTATCTCTGTGCAAAAACTTTTGAAACGTTCATTATTTGACTGTGTGCACACAGGATCTCTAAAGGGGGTTAGAATAATCGCATTCGTCAGAGTAGGATTCCGAACATTTTGTTTTTGATAATGAATCTGATAATGTTATGTACAACAAATGCATAGCCTTTTAGTCCTTTTGTGTTTTGCACAAGTATTACTGAATGGGCATGGAATTTAGATATTTCTATCCTGTACATTGTGAAGATATACTATCACAATTAGGTATTTCTATTCAGCTTTTTACTTGAAATTATCAGACCGTGAGATAAAGGCTCAGCTCGCTCAGAAGAACAACACAATCATAAAGAACTTGAGTGAAGAACGTTACAGGGTGATGTGTGACTGACTGTCATTGATATTTATACTTATTCCGCCTTTTACATTTAATCATATTTTTTTAACTGTCGATATCGTCAACTTCCAGGATCGACAGCATTATTAGTTTAGAATAAATAATAGCTGACCAGTAGTTGTAGACAACGGGTTTATGCTTCGTACGTGTTAGTTCAGAACTGTGATTGAAATATGTGATTAAATAAAAACAGATGAAGATGTTGTCGTCTTCAAGATGTTTGCCTAACACTGTACAACAACGTTACTGGTCAATGATTATAAAAGCGTTCTTCTGTCTCTCTAGACACGGTGCTGACACCAAGACATCCCAAATGGATTGGAGCATGGTGGCTTGGATTTCTCCTATTCGGCTGCTTGGGTGTCGTCGTTGGAATACCTTTGATGTTCTTTCCGAAACAAATAGTTCCAACTAAAGAAACACAATCACAGAAAGAGGATGTTCCTTTTAAGACAAAAATAACAGGTGCAAGATTATCATAATATTGAAGTTTACTTGCACATGGGAAAGTGTGTGGTGCCTTGATAAACTGAAGAAATATATTTCACAAACTGTCACTAATTATACATCATGGCCCTGTGTGTTATTTACACACTTGTATCGTCTAGTGAGTTTTTTATAAGACCACTGATGCGGGGCTTTTTGTGATTCATCCTTTGTTATAGCTAATGTACCCATGATAATTCCACGTTTTAAGAGGTTTAAAGTCGTGGCAAGACGAATCGTACTTAATATATTTACACATCCAAACCTATTTCAAATCAGGAACTATGAAGGATATTTTTAATAATATCAGTTATCATTTAGTTATAGCATTTTTAAAAGAAATAGATTTGTTAAATGATTTGTAAATAGATAAATATTTTATGATTGGAAGTTACTAATAATGATCAGATTGTTAGTGGCTGTATCCTCACAGGGGGTTAAAGTAGTATACAATTATTGTCCTCCTGAGAGGGTACGTAATTCCACAAACACTCAAAGTAAATTAAAACTCTCCACTATTTTTAATCGTAGAATATTTGTGTTTTTTAATGTATGGCTAGATTTGTCTACGTTGCTAACGGCTGAAGGGATGATGTAAATCCAGCTGGGGTCCATGCAGGAAGCGAATGTACTGTAAGCCCCAATGGTCCCGTATGGTGATCTAACTTCAGTTGTTCGCAATCTATAGCCTGTTTTTACATTGTCTTGTCATTACTAGTTAAAATGTTTTAGATTTAATTACTAGTTTTAGTTGGATATATGTCATACACTCGTAGTTTTAGGGTTCTTCGTCAACAGGCATTTATTTTCTAATTATATTGATCTCGTCACAATATGGCTGAAATATTGCCGATGTGACGATAAATATTAACTCACTCACTACACATCCTTACGTGTCTCTTGTATCATAGTTAGAGTATTGTTGGTTTTGTTGGTTTTATACAATTCACTGCTTTATTCAACGATCCGTATGACGTTATCAGCCCACGATAACCATGCAAATAATCCATTCTCTATGACATGGCGTTGACGTCAGAACTGCCCCGGTCTGTGTTCCGTGTGTTGAGGAATCCTATCTGCAGTCTGACGCTTGTCGGCATGCTCCTGCTGTTGTGTTATGGCTTTGGACTTCAGAGCTTTACACCCAAGTATGTCGAGCAGCAGTTCATGGTCCCTGCATCCAAAACAAACATCGCCCTAGGTGGGTATCATCTTCAGTTCACATATTCCTAAATACATTTCCTAAACTGTTGTTTTTCTCCTTTCAGCTGTAAATGTAACTGCTTCAGCAGAACAGTTATTTTGTTGAGGTGTTTCAAAGTTCAGTATCCAACACATAACCTGTGTGATATAAATGTACATAGAGATTTTTTTCTGGGTTAAATCTCCTTTTTACTCTTGAGTACAACGTTTCAGGGCTTGTTCTGGCTCCATCATCAGGTAAAACTGAACAGTAACCGTTAACTCTGGCCGTGACGTCACAATGCTTATGACGTCACAATGCTAGGACGACGCAATACATTTGGTGGTCAATAGATACAGATGACATGGCTAATAGAATACATAGAGAATACTACACGAGGTCTCATTAGATACGAATTATACGAAACGAGTGTCCTTCCTATGGTATCTGACCGAGCGAAAGCGAGGTCAGATAACATAGGAAGGTCACGAGTTTCGTATAATTCGTATGTAATGAGACCGAGTGTAGTATTTTATTTATTACCCACGTCTTACATGCATTAAATTGACAAAATAGCGTATTTTTGTTAATATTTTGGTTTCAAACCGAAACCGGTTTCATAAAGAGGTTGCGGAAGAGTTTTGCACTGTAGTACAATATTTGCATGGCGTCACTGTAATGACGTCACTGCCTTGGTAACCGACGTCACGATGCATGTCAGTTGTCATCGCCTCCTACAGTAAACTACTCCGTAGCACCCCGTTTCTTGGTTTGCAGTTGCTTCATTCGGCTAACATCACTGGTGGAAACATTGCGTTTACGTTTTTCGACGGGTATAATGTCTCAGTTCGACTC